AGCACCGAGGTGAGGCTTACAGGCCTATAATTACTTGGGTCCTCCTTCGTCCCCTTCTTGAAAATTGGGACCACATTAGCCAGTTTCCAATCCCCTGGCACCTGGCCAGATGACCACGAATGCTCATACAGCCGGGCCAAAGGCTCCGCAATGACCCCTGCCAGCTCCCTCAACATCCTTGGGTGGAGGGCATCTGGACCTGCAGATTTAAAAATGTCTAGCCCTTCCAGAAGATCCTGAACTACATCTGCAGTGCTTGATAGAGCTATCCCCAAGATTGTCCCTACCTCTGGTAGGTGGGATATCCTGGTCCCTGTTCAGGAAAACAGAGGCAAAGAAACTGTTAAAAATATCAGCTTTCTTGTCTGGCGTGGCCACCAGATTGCCGTTTGTGTCTTGCAGGGGCCCTACATTGCCTGGTGTATGGCAATGTAGGGCCCCTGCAAGAGTATGCTCAAGTACATTGGGAGCATTCTTGCTCCCAATGTACTTGAAAAAGGACTTTTTGTTGTCCTTAATCCTGGACACTAGCCTGAGTTCCATCTCTGCCTTGGCTCTAGGAGTTGACTCTAGGATGATTCTTACCAGGGATTACAGTGGACATCTCAAGAGCTGCTACAGCTCTGTAGCAAGGAGTCATAACTTATTTCCACTGTAACACTCACTATTTGGTGACATACTTCCTTGGCTCAGAGGAAGTTCAACCTGAACATTTGAGGCCTACAACAGTTTGAATCCTGGATGATTCCTCACTTTCATGATGACCACTATTATGGGATTGAACTGGGGAATCTCAAGAGATAAAACCAACCTAGAGTTCTAGTTTGAGCTGAAACTAGTTTGAGCTAGGAGGTTTTTAAGGCTTGGCTTGACAAAGCCCTGGCTGGGTTGTTCTAGTTGGGGATGGTCCTACTTTGATCAGGGAGTTGGACTAGATGACCTCCTGAGGTCCCTTCCAATCCTAATTTCCTATGATTCTAAAGAGCTGGCAGGAAAGGTTGAGGAGAGGGGTAGGAGTTGAACCTCATATCTCAAACATATTTTGGCGCCTAATTTCAGGCTGGAGGGAAGTGCTTTTTTTCACTTGGGGCTTCCCATTGTGAACCCTCTCCTGGAATTAAGCTAGGTCAGGCTTATCTCAAGGAAAAGCACCAAGAGACTACTCTACTCCATTCCAGTAGCCTAGTGGTTAGGGCACTTAACTAGGAAGTGTGAGACATGGGTACATATTCCTGCTATAAATTAAGCTCAGGAGAATTTTGAACAAATGTTGCTGAGTCTGTGGAGGGCTACACCCTCCTGTCTTTTCTGTAGGTTAAGGCCCCCTCCAGCTGGGAGCTCCAATCACCTGACTGGGCTCCCAGCCTCAGGGGCACAGGCTGCAGATGAAGATCAAAGCTGGATAGAAACCAGCTATAAAGTTATTACACATTTTCCAGCAATAACTTTATAGCTGGTTGGACCTTTTTAAAGGTACCATGGTTAATTTGCATATGTGGCCAGCCTAAATTAATTGCACAATTAAACCAGGAAATTGCATAATACATGTGATGTGTAGAAGGGAGTCTTAGACATATCTGTTCTGAAAATCCATGCCAAATCTGGCCCTGCAAAGGAGCTAGGCAGAGAAATGCCTGGGTTGAGATGCCTTTCAGGGCTTAAGTGAGAATGAGGTCTCCAAGCAGCCTAGCAGTTCCAGGCCTTGAGTGATTATGCACATGCCCAGCAGCAAAAATATAGTCCTCTAGGGACATTAGGCAGCAGCTGAGAGGTTTTGAGAATTTCAGTAGCCACTTTTGGCAATTTCAGTGAGCTGTGCATAAAAGAAAAGAACTTATTTCTGCTTAAGAATTCAGTCTGAATGCCTAGGCTACTTATGATTTTGCTTTGGAATGAACATAATCACAAGTGATTTAAAATAATACACTTGCCTAGCTGTTGAGTGGCAGCACAACTGGGCGCATCTACAGGTGACATTAGCGTGCTGAAAAACCAGAGGACCCTCCCCTTTCCCCCTCTCCCCCAGCCAAGGTGCATCCAGATCCGGCCCATGAGGAGCTGCAGGGATTAATGCAGCTCGCTCTTGCCTCCCACTGCTGCTGCCAAAACACATCCCTAGCAGGGCTCTGGACTGCGGAGTTTAAAGGTGGGTTCCAGCTCCCACCTCCCTCACCCCAGCCTTTCCAGGAGTCCCACAGTGCAGATCTGACCCATATCTTTGACACTCCATAGTAATGGGTAGGCAGCTAAATTTCTTTTTAGATTTAGCCCCAAATCTCCTTGTTCACATAATCCTGGCCTCAATGGGGAATTTGCCGCTGACTTCCAGATGTCTTCGAAAACAACCAAAATTTCAAACTTCAGAAAAGCACATGGAAAATCACGCTGCTAGCTGACCAGCAGGCCCCCTTCTTTCCTCCTGCAGTCTTGCAGTGAGTGCATTTTTTGCATAGTATATTGAGGGCTCAGGAGGAAGCTATAGAGTCCTCAGCAGCATCAGTACCAGTCTTCTGCTGCTCTGCTCTTAGGGTCAGGACAGTGACTTATGACCAAACATTTAATTTTTTTAAATGTAGTTTTCATTTTCAGCTTTCCACTATTATGCACTTACCTCTGGTATAATTCTGTTTGTGCTGTATGATTTCAGTGGGAATAACACTGTTTGGATTGGAGAGGTCAAATATCCTGATACTTAATTGCATTGTTTGCTTTCTAGTACTTTGAAATCCAGACTTCCTTCCTAGACAGAATCAGCTGGAAGGTTATTTGCCTCATGACTCTCTATGTGGTTTAAAAGTGAAAAAAAAGAAATTAGGCCCCCCCCCGGTTTGGGTTAGTTCCAAGACTATTTCATTTCAACTTCCTACCAGTAACCATATTGCTCTCAATGAGAAATTGCACAGGATTAATAGGAAGGAAGAAGGATGGGCTTGTGGTTGCAATAGTGGTCTGAGAGCCAGAAGTCTTTGCAACAAATTTACAATGGAACTTTGGGCAATTCACTTTAATGTTCTGTGCCTCAGTTTTCTCATTTACAAAACAGGATATAAAATTCACTAACCAATCCAGGATATAGATAGGGCACATTCCTGTTCAGAGGTAGACTATACTTACATGTTTGGGGTTGGAACCATCTTTGTTATATGTCTGCCTACTACAACAGGGGCCCATCCTGTAAGTGCTTCACAGTACTACTACTACTACTACTATTACTATTTATTTTTTGAGTGTGAGCTTCTCTCTCATGGTGACAGCATTGCTACCATGTCAAGTGATACAAGGAATGTCTAAGATACTACTCTGCACAGCTCCAGGTATCATCAAGAAGAAAGACAAAGTTTGAACCCAGCACTAGCCAGATATCAAACTCCCTTCTAATTCAGAAAACTGGTCATCACCATAGAGGAAGACATGGGAAGGGAGGACAGTCCTGTAGTTTAGGTTCTAGACTAGGGCGTAGCTGGATTTAACTCCTAGATTCCATTTGTGAATTTGTCGCTTAATCTTCTTGTGCTTTGGATGAGGATGCTACATGTTTTCTTGTACCATTCTCTGTCTGGGCTATTTAGACTTTAAGCTTTAAAGATAGGGACTATGTCTCCTGCGTGTTTGTTCAATGCCCAGCACAATGGGATGCTGGTTACAGGTGGAAGCTCTTGATGCACAAATGACACACAATGATTATAATAGCAATTACTAACTGAAGTTACTATGGCATATTTTTAAACTTGTTACAGATTTTCTATATAGGTGGGCACTTAAATCCGCCTTCTCTAATGTTTCAGATGACTATGTGCCATGGAATGTACCAAAACGTGAGATGATTAAACCAAACAATAAATATCATCCATCAGAAGAAAAATTTGACCACAGAACCACTATCCAGGATGACTACAAGTTTAAGGGGCCAGTTGCCACCAAGAGCTACAAACCTTTGAATTTGGTCCAGAAGAACATGACTCCCTTTGAAAACCTGACAAATTATATGTTGAGTTATGTACCACATCCCCCGGAGAAATGCTTTGTCCATGAATATGAAAAGTATAAGCCCTCTGATACCCCATTTGATGGCCTCACCACCCACAAACAATCTTATAGGGGGCTGGCTGGCCTGCCAGCCAAGCTGATGAAGCCACACCACACAGTGCCATGCCATGATGTCCCATTTCCCTCTTCCACAGAGTTTCGGGACAAATATTTGCTTTGGCCACACCCTCCCATATCTGTCAAAAAACCTGCTGTGTATGTCCCTCCTGTGGAGAAAATGGACCTTAAGACAACTACGCAAACCCATTACACACCCCATAAGGGCCAGCCTGCCAAGTCATGTCAGCCACTGGCCCAATTTAAAAAAGGCACCATGCCCTTTGATGGCTGCTCCACCATGAAGGATGACTACAAGGCATGGCAGTGTACAAAAACAAAGCCCATCATACATGCACCAGAACTAAAGGTGGCAGAAGAACCAATGGATTACTTGACTACTTTTCAGACCCATTATGTGCCCCACCCACCTACTTTCACAAAGAGCTTTAAGCCAGGTTGGTCAAGTCTGCGGTCTGTCACACCATTTGAAGGACAAACCATCTACACAAGCAGCTACACACCAAAGAAGATTGCCAGGTGCCTTGCCTCTTACAAAGAACCACCAGCCTACGTGTTTCAAGAAATTGATCCTGCTGGTCACAAGTTCTACCTTCCTGTTTTAGAGACTGAACACCCACTGCATTCAAAGGGTAAAGAGCAAGAAAGCAACCTTTCTGGGAATGGACTTAGCCTCCAGGAGCTAGCAGTGACAGGCTGATTCTTTTTGGAACTTTCTTTAAAACTGACCATGCCTTTTATACCCTGAGAGATCTTAAAAATAAGTTTCAGTCCCAGGGACCTGCTCTTTCAGGAACAACTGAATAAAGAAGAATCCCACCACCCAGGGAAAGTATATTTTAGTTGTCTGTTGGTTGTCCTTGGTTATGTGTTCTTTCCTGCCCCTTCATCCCTACCCCCTCAGAAACAACCCTCCTTATCTTTACTTAAGAAATGTGTATCTCTTGGCAATAGATTCCTAGCTTGTAAGCACATCAAGTGTTTGACTTCCTTGGTGATGAAGGTATTACAATAGCATAGATAAGTGATTCTCAACCAGGGTGCCTTGAGGGCCTTTCAAGGATGTTGTGTAATGTTAGCACTGTTAGCTATGCAAAAATGATTCCTAAGATAAACCCAGAGATTTCAAAGAGGAATCCATAGTATCAGAAGCATGCTGGCCTGTTGTGCTCTTTCTGGATTCCTTGGACAGAAGAATTGCTTTATTGTTTTTCTGTTAACAAAAAACAAGTGAAAATTAAGAGCTGGCATTTTCTGAGGGGTGTCTTGAGGCTATTGAGGAATACCTTGAGTCTAAAAAGGTTGGAAACCAATGGCCTAGAAAGATGGATGGATAGATAGATAGATTCCCCTAAATCACAATGTATATCTCACTATAGCTAGATGTTAGATTTGAGCTCAAGAGTCCAAGATCCAGTGACTGCATCTAAAATAGACAAGAAATATTGTTATCTAAAGCTAGATTTGTTATGCTGCCTTTATAAACTTCCCTGGAAATTTCAGTTGTGCATAAGGTATTTTTAAGCTCTTTCTCTCTACAGTAAATTTACTGTGCCCGGCAGAGGTGGCCTCAAGCTAACTGTGCTGTTCCATGTAGGCTGCCTTCTAGGCTGAGGCACTATAGCTTTGTTTGTATAGCAGCATAGGATTATAGAAAAGTAGAACTGGAAGGGATCTCATGAGGTGACCTGGTCCAGCCCCCTTGCTAAATCATGGAGAGGTAACTTAGCATGGAGAAAGGTTAATTGGCACTGTCACTCAGCAGCACTAATTAGTAGGGCTGTGCTAAACAGCACCAGTTCTTTTTTACTTCTGTTTCGCCATTTCAAAGGGACAGTGTTTTTTTTCACTATTTTGAAGCACTGTTCTGTTTTGTTTTGTTGAAACTGTTTCACTGTTTCAATGTTTCGCCCATATGCTATAATGGGGAATCACGAAAATGGCTATAACTTTGTCATTTCTTGCCTGATTCAGATGAAAATTACAGGGATGGTAGCCCCTCTGAGGGCATGAAGCCTGCCATGTTTCAAGGAGATAGGTGCAGAGTTTTTTGTGAAACTGCACCTCAAACTTTTCAAAGCAAAACTAGAATCACTTGCCAGCAGCGGCAGCATGCTGTCATCCCACATGCAGATCCAGGGCCCGCTCCCCCTGGAAGGAGTCTGGCACAGCCCCACGATCTGTGCGTGGGGTTTCAGCAGGTTGCCAGTTCACCAGTTTCTGGTTCAATTCCCCAACTCCCCAATCTTTCCCCCAGCTCTGATGGCTTCTCCCAGCTCTTCCTGTGGGGCACAGGCCCCTGGATGATGTGAGATGACAGCAGGCTGCCACTGCCAGCTGGGGATGATGGCGGCTCTGGGCTATTTCCCCAGGTGGCAGTAGCAGCCTGCTAAAACCTCGCATGCAGATCTGGGGTCCGCGCCCCCCAGGAAAACCTGGGGGAGTGATCAGAGAGCTGGGGAATCAAAGCGGGAGCTCTGGCTGACAGGTGGATCTGCCACAGCTCCAGGACAGTGTATGGTGCCTGGCTTGAGCTGCGCTGCATCCACACGATGGTGCATCTGCCATGCAGGTGCCAGGCGGGGGGCAATCCCTGTTGCCCTGCAGTGCGTGGGGAGCTCTGCCATGAGTGCCCAGAGGCCCCAGTTGCCACTGCCAGAGCCAGTGAGTGCAGGACCTTTTTTTTTGAAAGCTCTGCACCCACTGGCTATGGAGCATGCAGAAGTGCCAGCACCCAAGTTTACCAGGAAGAACCCAGTGCTGGCGCTGGCCTCAGCCAGCAGTGGCAGCCTGCTGTCATCCTGCACACAGGTCCAGGAGGGCTGCAGGGCTGTGCCAGAGGGAGCAGACCCCCAGATCTCCATGTGGGATGACAGCATGCTGCCAGTGGCGCTGCCGCCAAGTAATACTGGTTTTGCTTTGAACAGAAACTTTCAAAACTTTTCGAAGCTGTTTTGAAGCCTTTCATTTCATTTTGATTACGCTGTTTCAAGCTCAAAACGTGTCAAAACAGCTTCAGAAAGAAACACCCGTCAAAATTTAGCACAGCCCTACTAATTAGTCTATTCAAAGTGCTGCATCAATAGATTAGGAGGCAATGCAGTGATCTTGAGGATTTTACGGCCAGATATAATAAGTTTATTGTGCAAGTATGGCTTTGTTTTCATATAACGTTAGTGTTGTTGCCCACCCTTGGGGACGCTTGCATTTAAATAGAAACAGAGGTGGTTACCATATTATTCCGTTATTCTGAAGTTGGGCAGAAGGTAGGGCATGGTGGCATCTTAAGCAGAAAGTAGGGCAGTGTGACATTTTAAAGCAGTGATTCTCAAGCAGGGTGCTGCAGCACCCTAGGTTGTCTTGAGATTATTTCAAGGGTGCCATGGAGTGCCACACAATGTTAGCACTGTTAGGTATGTAAATATGATTCACAAGATAAACCCAGGGTTTTCAAATAGGAATCCACAGTGTTAAAAACACTCTGACCTATTGTGATTTTTTCGCTGCTCTTTGCAACAGAAAAATTGCTCTATTATTTATTATTTTTCCCTAGTCAAAAAACCCCCTAAGAGCTGGCATTTTCTGAGGGGTGCATTGAGCTTAAAAAGGCTGAGAACCACAGTCTTGGAGTGGTCTAAGTGGTTCAGAGTGGCACAAGCTTTCATAGGCAATAACCTACTTAATCACCTGAAGTCACCTGCTGGTTAAATAGCAAATGAAGCAATCTCTCTGTGTAATGTGCACCTCAGTCTGTTCCATGTGTGAAGTTCTCCGAAACCCACCTGGGATGGATGTTACACATATATAGCTGAAAGCTGAGGCCAGAAGAAAGTGGGAAATATTTTGGCAGCAAGGATTTTTCAGTCATATCTTTTATTCGGTTGGGAGAGACGTTAGACAAGCTTTCAGGCAGAAAGTGCCCTTCTTCAGGTCCAGGAAATAAGCAAATACAGCTGGAGCTAAATAACAGAACAATGACTTGTGTCTAACTCCATGTGGGACACTTACCAGGAGGGTAATGCCCATAGGAACAACTGCTCTAGGGGTGCATTAGATTCTCCGTCCTCTTAAGCCTCTAAATCATAATTGGATGCCTTTCTAAATGATGCACAATAGCACAAGCAGAAATTATGGGGTCTCTGAAGATATTATTGGGTTATATAAAAGAGTAAAGCAAGCTGGTCTGTTGTTCTCTTAAAATCTAAGACCGATGAAACATTCTTTCCCCTAGGTAGGAGGCTGCAATGTCTCATCATTTATATTTTTATAACTTTAATGCCAAATCACAACCCAAACATAATTTTCTTTGCCCTTGCCCCTCTAATGTTCATCACTATTATTTATTATGCTATAATTCTGTGAGCACTTTGGAATACGGGTTATATGAAAGATGCTAGTGATTTTAGGTGCTGGGAAAAGATTCTGTCCCTTTTATGTATTAAGCCTCCTTGCCTGTTAATTTGACACTCTCACTTTATCCTAACCATGAAATAAAGTTGCAAGGGTCTAGGAAGTAAATGTATTTTTATTACTGCATTTTACGGTGTGGACTTGATTGATTTTAGTGTGGTTGCATGTATAAAACATTACAGAACATGAATAATTGCTGGTTTTTGACCATTCATAACAAACATCCTGATTCTGCAAACACTACACCAGCTTCCAGTCTACAGAAGGATGTGTCAAAAAATCAGATGGAACTGGTTTTGTTTCAGCTTTTTCACAGTGTGGGAGTTAGTTTTGCTGGCTTGTATCTATAGCATTTTAAAAAATGTATTAAACCCAAACCAAAATGATACCAAGGAGTCTATTTCATTCATATGAACAAACAACTTCTCTCACCCCATTAAAATGCTCTGTATTGCTGTTGTTTGCATAGAACCTCAATCATGGGTGGACCTTGGATTTTGAAAAGAAGGTGCAGATAAGGTGATGCACCATCATGTATAAAACAATATATTATTTTTCATAGAATCATAGAAAATTAGGGTCGGAAGGGACCTCAGGAGGTCATCTAGTCCAACCCCTTGCTCAAAACAGGACCAGATCATTCCAGCCAGGACTTTGTCCAGCTGTGTCTTAAAAACCTCCCAGGATGGAGATTCCACCAACTCTCTAGGTAACTTGTTCCACCCTCCTAGTGAGAAAGTTTTTCCTAATAGCCAACCTAAACTTTTCTTGCTGCAACTTGAGACCATTGCTCCTTGTTCTGTCATCTGCCACCACTCAGAACAGTCTAGCTCCATCTTCTTTGGAACCACCCTGCAGGTAGTTAGAAGTTACTATCAAATCCTGCCTCAGTCTTCTCTTCTCTAGACTAAATAAGCCCAGTTCCTTTAGCCTCTTCTCATAAGTGATGTCCCCCAGTCCCCAACCTTTTTTGTTGCCCTCTGCTGGACTCTCTCCAATTTATCCATATCCTTTAAAAAATGGACACTCCAGTTGTGGCCTCACCATTGCAGAATAGAGGGGAATAATTACTTCCCTTGATCTGCTGGCAATGCTTCTACTAATGCAGCCCAGTATGCTGTTACCCTTCTTGGCAACAAGGGCACATTGTTGACTCATATTCAGCTTATTGTCTACTGTAACCCCCAGGTCTTTTCTGCAGAGCTGCTGCTTAACTACTTGGTTCCAAGCCTATAGCAGTTCATGGACTTCTTCCATCCTAAGTGCAGGACTTTGCACTTGTGTTTGTTA